AAGCTGCTGACAGTGCACTCTGTTCCCTCATCCAGGTTGCTGATGAATATATTGAGTACTACAGGTCCCACTACTTACCTCTCTAGAGCCTACAACTTGATTCTGTCCCATTGACCACAACTCTCTGTCTTCTTTCCTTCAACCAGTTCACAATCCACCTCCCTATCCAATCACCCAGATCACACTTCCTCAGTTTAGCTGCAAGGATGCTGTGGTAGACGATGTCAAATGTTTTACTAAAATCAAGATAAACCACATCCACTGCACTACCATCATCTATCCACCTGGTTATGTCCTCATAAAAAGCAATCAGGTTGGTTAAACATGACTGTACCTTGGTAAAACCATGCTGACTGCTCCTAATGACTCTCTTATCCATCAGGAACCATGGACTTATGGATGTCTAGATTGCTTAATCGATCCCTAACCCAGTCCTTATCAACCAAGGCAAACTCCTCCTTGTCTGGACTTCTTTGGGGGACTCCTGAGGACAGTCTCCAGCAGTATAGACAGAGACAAAGAAGGCATTCAGTAACTCTGCCTTCTATGCATCCTCCCTCAACAGATCACCTACCTCATTGAGCAGTGGGCCTATATTGCCTCTAATGTTAGTTTTACCTGCAATGTGTTTGAAGAAGCCCTTTCTGTTGTCTTTGGCCTCTCTTGCAAGGTTTATTTTCCAGGAGGTCTTAGCTTACCTAGTTGTCTCCCTACAGCCTCTGAAAAGTCTTCTGTTCCTCCCATACAGCCAGCCTCTCCTTCCATGATCTATAGACTCTCTTTTTCCACTTGAGTTTGCCCAGCAATTCCCTCTTTCACCATGTGGGTCTTCTGGCTCCCTTTTTTGATTTCCTACGCATTGGTATGCTCTGATCTAGAGCTTGGAAGAAGTGGTCCTTGAATGTTGACCAACTATCTTGGTTATCTCAATCCTGTATTCGGGAGAGAAATTAAAGAACATAGCTTATTTGGAACATATAGTAAGACTAAACATGTTCTTTAACATCAGAGACCCTAGAGCTAGAGAAGAAATTTACTGTATGTGGATGTAGTTTCTTAAAAAGCCAGTCATTTGAAGCAAGGTATTAGCCTGCTCTCAAACAAGCACTTTAATTTTACACTTGGAAAGATATAATAATTTGGTTTTACAGGAAAACTATTTATAAGTGTTTGAGAGACATTGGCAGTACAAAAGCAGTAATACAAAGACATCAGGCAATAATGAGATTAATCACAGCAATTACTAATAAGACAATAAATTTTTCTTACATAGTTTTTAGATTTCTTATTTCATTTAGATGAAAAATACATTTGCTCTGTAGTGTTAGTTCAGTTAAAATGTAAGATTTTGACTCCAGTTTGACTTTCCCTAGCCACAATCAAGAGTTGGTACCAGTAAGCCTGTACAGTGCCAGTAGCTGGACCTGAATAATCAGGGACAGGGTACACTAAAGATTGTGGCAGTTACATGATGAGAGTGGCAATGATGGAGCAAAATTATTCATTCTGCCATGCAGTTATTTCTGTTAGCTCAGGGACTGCTGTACAGAAGCCCTACCTCTTTATTTTATGTAGCCTATGTGAACGGAAGAGCTTACCTGAATTAATAGTTGCACCAAAGAGTGTTTCTTCAGTCTGCCTCTTCTTTTCACTGCCCTTGTAGAATGCAGAACACAGGCTTAGCTGGATGTATTTAAGATGCAATGAATTATCAGGACTAAAATAAGGTTCCCTAGTTAAAATGACTTACTAAGTCTTTCAGGTTTGGTCATACAGATAATGTGTATTTTGTCTGTTCCTTTCTTATTTGAGAGCCATCCATTTACTGCTTGATAGAATTTTTAGTGCTGGTTATATGTCACCATATAAAACTTTATTTTATTACATAGCAGTTAGCAGGTGCCTTTTCTTTCAGCTTTGGCATTTACTTGTCAAGATGCATTTTAGTTTCCTAAATTATGTAATCTGATTTAATAAAAACTGCTTACAAAACAAGTAAATACACTATCACAGGCAAAATATTACTTAATTTACAAAATTTGTCACGAGAAACAGGACTTCATTCATTGTGCTCACTCATTGCTATTTATCAACGTTTGTTAAAGGTTGCAATTGAACAAAGGAGAGTAAATGCAATTTACTGTAGAAAGGCAAGGTCACATGGCCCGGGTCTTAGTTACTTTATCTTTCATGACAGATTCTATTTTCTGCTACTTGTATTATTACCCAGCAATACACTTCTCCCATGATAGTGCATCTGTAGCTCTTTCATTGCCAAATTTAGTGGTAGCATTTAATTTGTTTGACATTATTCAGTTATCAAGAAAAAGTAGCGCATGCTGAGATGCACAGTAGCTATTTAATGATAGCATAAAAAATGAGTTCTTGTAAGCAAGAGCAATGTCTCAAGTACTTTGCTAAAAACACTCTTCTTTCTGAGGCTGCACTATCCTGTTCCAATTTCTGTTCTTGTCCTGGGAACCTACGCATTCACCAGGCAGGTCTCCAGATGAAGACTAAGAGGTAGATATGCTGTGACAGTAGACGCAGAATGAGTTGGACAATTAAATTTCATATCTTTTCCCTTAAGTCATGGCAGCTGGATAATGTGCAAAGACTGCAGAACAGGAAAAGCACAGGAAAAGCACAGGAAAAGTGAGGAAAGCCTCACTAAGATCACTAAAGTAATCTATTCTCCTTTCTGTGAAAGATCAGCTCTACATATGCAATTTTCAACAAAACATAATCTTACCCATCCTTGGAGACGTACAGTGATGAAGAAGCCACATAACTCATTAAATATTTCCTATAATATTATAAACGTATGTTTTTGTATGACATTCTGATATTCATACCCATGTTAATTGGAATACAAATATAACTGTGACATAAGTGACTACACAATGTAGCTGTAAACCAAAAACCTTTGATGGAGGGTCCTAGCAGGAGGCAACAGAGACTCTTTCTTGACAAAACATTACTTACTACCTTTATCTACAAACTGCAAGACAAAATAAGATGACAGTTTGCAGTTTTTGGAAGTCAGGAAATATGGTGGAGTGGCATATTAAAGAGATGCTGATTGCAGAGGATGATCTGAATAATTTTGTAGGATTGGCTGATTTTAATATTCTGTTTTAATACAGTAAAATTTGCAAGCACACATCCAAGGAACAAAGAGCATAGTTTATACAGACAGGATTGGACAAAGTATTTCAAAATGACGCAACATGAAAAGAAGTCAGGGTCTTGGTAGATAATTAACTGAACATGAGCCTGCAGTGGGATGATGTAATTAGAGAGTGAATGTCAGCCCTGAAGCTTAAGCAGAGAAACTATGAAGTGGGAGTAGGAAGATGATATTAGCTCTGTTTATGACAAAAGTAAAATCATAACAGGAATACTGTGTGCAGTTCTCATACCCACACTTCAGAAAGGACTCTCACAAATAAAAAATTAGTCAGAAAATCTGATAAGAAATGCATTGAGGTCTTCAGACATGGCATGCCTTCCTATGAAAAGCTAAGTAGGAGGAAATGCTTGTCTTATAAAAAAGAAAAACAAAGGAAGGCTATTACTTAAATGTAATACTTGTCATTTATTGTGGTTTACTTTTTAATATAGGAGAAAAAGACATACCAAAGGCAATTTGGGGTATTTTTCCCTTGAAAAGAAACAGAAATTTAAGATTTTACTGCAAATAAAGCCCTTAAAAGACAAACCCACCCAGTGAATAATTAGCCAAATTAACAATGAGGTGTTGGATCTTCTACACTGTATTGTTACGTCTAAAGATCTTTTCAAGGATATGACAATTTTCTATAGAAATTACAGACATGTTGCTGAGAATTTCAGGTAAAAACACCTGATGATCCTGCCACAGCTTGCAGGATCATTATAATTTATTCTAGCCTCAGAGCCTGTGATTAGCTGGCTAACATAATTCTACTTTCTTTGAGTTCTGTTAAAACATATTGATGTATAACTGCTGAGGAAGTAGCCCTAAACTCTTGACATTTGAAAATAAAGCAGAGTACTGCACCAGTTTTGTACAGGTTTACCACCAGTGAAATCAATAGCCTTGTATTTGAAGATAATTTTGAGAATGGGTAGACTGTAAAGTTATTTCTAAACTGCACAACCTGTTCCCACCATGAAAAGAACTACTCATAAATCATCCTGAATCTCTGGAACTAGAGACAGTACTTAATGTTGTTTCTACAGAGATTAGTTCTGCTGAATACAGAAATTTACATCCTTTAGTTTGCAATTTTGTTTATATTTTTCAATATTTGAAATACTATTTAACCGTTAAGTGGTCCTGACTGCAAAAACACCAGACTGTGTTTTCAATAAATAATTCCACTTTAATGGCAAAGTAATAATTTAGACAGATACAGTGTGCACACCTGCAAAAAAAATATAGGCAAGCTGGTTTACAAGCTAGAGGAACAATAAACCAATAGAAAATACATCATCCAGTTAAGTCCGATGACACCAAATACTTATTATTAGGGCTTTACAAAGACTACAAAACTTTTCAGATGATTTATTTCACTGTTTCTGTCTATTTACATGATATGTTACATCAAAAATGTACAAAATATAAAATGTGTACAGACAAATGTTTCACAAACAATTTCTGAGTTGTAAACTAGGTGGACTCACTGAGATGTATTGCAGGAAGTTTTGTATATGTGATATTGTGTGTTTGTGTGTTAAATTTGGCAGGAAACGATTTGCAGGTTTGCTCAGAGCACAGGTACAGGAAAGAGCAGCTTTCCTTTAGTTCTTTGAGTCAGTCAAGGTGTATATATTGATGTTTTGCAACAGAAATGGATTCAGATTTGGGGGATGTGATGTTAGTTTGACTGAATCCTACATGCACAACATCAGCTAGAGTTTTA